GGGTGGGGTTGGACGATTGGCTTGTCAAGGTTTCCTGGTTAGGGAAGCTTGTGTCAGTGTTCTGGTGCATGGAATTGGATTTCTTCTCTCTGGAGTGCAATGGAGTGCCCAGTAATGAGTTTTGAGATGGGTCTATGTGTTAGGTGTGACTTTGGGCAGCCTGTATGTTGACATTCAGGGCTATGTTCCTGCATTGCTGGAGAATTTGCGTGGTATGTCTTGCTCTGAAACGTACTGTCTCTTGGGTGGTGGTTGGTTTCAGTGTAGGTATGGAGGCTTTTGGATGGTTTCTTATTACTTAATGTTCCATGTAGTCAGGAGTTTTCTGGTGTTCTCAGGTTTTGGGCTTAAGTCTCCTGCCTCTGGATTTCAGTTTTATTCTTCCAGTGGTCTCAAGACTTCCCCAACTATACAGCACTGATAATAAAACTTCTAGGTTAATGGTGAAAAGATTCTCCACCTTGAGGGACACCCAGAGAGGTTCACAGAGTTACATGAAAAAGAGGAGAGGGAGGAGGGAGATGGAGATGAGCAGGAGGAGAAAAAGGGGACTCAAGAGGAGAGAGACAGATCTACGCAGTTGTCTGTTCCCAGAGTGTTCTCCGTAGCCCAGACACCCACAAAGATTCCCAGAATTGGATTGGGACGAGAAGGGGAAAGGAGGAAATAGAGGTGTTCTGAGGTAGAAAATGGAGAGTCAAAAGTGGGAGAGAGTAATCAACACACACCTGAATAAAAATGGGAACTGAATATTGGATTCTTAAATGTCCAAAATTTATATCACATACTGAAAAACAAAGATTTAAAATCTAGAGTAGAGATTAGACTCTTAAAAATACAATATTAAGAACAAAAACACAAAAAATTTTAGAAATATATATGAAATTTGGTTTAAAAATAGGGCTTCTCTTTTTTTTTTTGCAAGGTTATAGTGAAATGCAATGAAAATTAAGGCATAGTAGAGGAGTAATAGAGGACTTTAAAAGAAAATAAGAGAAAAGAAAAAAAAAGAAAAATTTTTTTCCTAATTAAAAAAGTTGTAAAAATATATGAAAATGAAAGTTAATGAGTAATGGGGGCATAATAGGGAATTTTAAGAGAAAATAAAAGAGAAAAAATAAAAAAGAAAAGAAAAGAAAAAAATTTAATTAAAAAAAAAAGGTAAAAATATATCTAGGAATTTCTCTCGAGCTGTTGTGGTCAATGTGGGTTCAGTTCAATTTCAGATAGCTCCTCGTTCCAGCTTACACTTCTCGATATCTGTAGGCCCCTTCTGGTGTAGTCAGTGTTACCTACAGGGATTTAATCTGTTGCACAGGTCACTTCTGAAGCGGTTCCCTTTGTTTATTTGGCTTCTGTTTGCCAGTCTCTTCAGTGTCTAATTTCCGCCCTGACACAGGCGGGCGGAGGTGGTCTCTTGTTCAGGTTCGCTTGTTCAGTCGTGCTGCGGGGAGGGAGGGGCCCTGCAGACAATCATCACTGGTGTGTGTGGGCAGGACTCGCAGTGTTCCGGACGCACTGGGTTTGCCCCTGCTCGCGGCATGTGCTTTCCCCGTCTACACTGCTCAGGCTCCAGGCTGCTCTATATGGAGCGGGCCCTGCGTTGCGTGCGGTTCCAGTTTTCAGGTACTACACAAAAGCGCGGACTTGGTTGCGCCTGTGTTTTGTGCCTTCCCTGCCCGCGCAGCTCAGGCAGCCAGGAGCTTGACGGGCGCACTCTCCCGGGTGCTGTTGCACCTTCTCCCCTCCAGGGTCCCAGGGTCAGTTTCCACGCGTGCCAGTCTGGTGCGTGCGCCTTGTGTTTAGCCTCGACCCTCCCATCGGATGTCGACCATCCAGAATCTCAGGAAGTCTTTGGTTAGAAACTGGAGGCCTGTTTGCAGTGTGGGAGGGGATGCAGTCTTTGGGGCCGAGTTTGCCCCTTTCCCCTCCCCCCTGCCTCCGGCGGGGCTGGGCCGGTCTGCAGCCGGCTAGCACTTTTCTGGACTTGCTCAGTCCGTTTGTTCTGCGAACTGCCGGCAGTATGTTCGGGCCGGTTAATTTTCTCTCTCTCTCTTGCTATCCCCCAGTTTAAGTTGCTATCTCACGTCAGCTCCCTCCGATAACCTCAGGGCATTCAGGCCCGGTCCTTACCCTAAGCAATGCCGCCCCCACTTGCTGGTGGCGGATGCGGGCGTCTGGGGTACTTTTCTGCTGGGAGTTGCTTTTAGGCACGTAATCTGTGGGTTTCATTTATTTTTCCTCCCAGTTAGGTTGCCCTCCGAGATCTGAAAACTTCCCCCAGACCCACCGGTGCGAGGGTTTCCTGGTGTTTCGAAACTTCCTCTATTAAGACTCCCTTCCCGGGACGGGTCTCCGTCCCTAGCTCTTTTGTCTCTCTTTTTATCTTTTATATTTTATCCTACCACCCTTCGAAGACAATGGGCTGCTTTTCTGGGCGCCTGATGTCCTCAGCTAGTGATCAGAAGTTGTTTTGTGAAGTTTGCTCAGCGTTCAATTGTTCTTTTGATGAATTTGTAGGAGAGAAAGTGGTCTCCCCGTCCTATTCTTCTTTTTTTTAATGGATATATTTTGTTCTCTTATGTCCTTAAGTATAGTTTCGAACTTTTGTTTTGTTCACTGTTATTTGTTTTTTTTCAGATTCTTTATTGCTGTTTGTTTGGCTCTCTTTAATATTCAGTTTTCTTTAAAAGGCATGTAGCTCTTTATTAAACTTTATTAAGAATAAAGTACTAAAGAACTCATTGGAAACTCTGCATGGTGGGACTTGTCTCTTGCCCTGTGGATATGTTCCTGGCTGACTGGCATCCTAGGGATTTAGCAGAGCTGGGGTCAAAGGCCCATCTATTCCTTTTGTTGACATTCCATTAACTCCCTGTTTTCAGCCTTAGACCAATATCTTACCATCTCCTGAAACTTAAATCTCTGACATCTGAAACTTCCGAGAAATAAACTAGTTGATGCCTTGCTGAGCAAGAGGGAAAAGGAACCATCACAGACCTTCAGTTAAATCTCTTTTCAGCCTTGTGCCTTATTTTTGTCATCTGGTATTTCTGATGACTCCACATTCTAAGCTTTTCAAAGGTTCTTCAAGGCAAAAAGCTGCTTGAGCCTTTTCTCTGAGCACTTCAGGCTGAAGTGTATGTAAGCTATATAGTTGACCGTTGGATGATATGGGTCTGAAACACATAGGTCCACTTATATACATATTTTTTTTCCACTAAATACATACTACAGTACTACACTGTTCACAGTTGGTTGAATCTGTGAAAGCAGAACCGAGGATGTGGAGGACCAATTGTAAAGTTACATGTGGATTTTCAACTGCAGCTGGTCAGTGTCCTTAACCCCATGTGTTCTTCAAGGGTCAGCTCTTGTTTCCTTGCCCCCTGTTAAGTCAATTAGCATCTCTCCATCTGCTGTGTCCTTTCATGATCTCTTTGTCTTTGAGGGTTATGCTTTAAAAAAATAAAATTCATTCCATGTTATTTTAGTAGGTTCTTTTAAAAAAGCGATCAATGCATATCACAGTCTGTTGTTTTTTAAAGTTCAAGTTCCTATTTTTAGAGCCATAAAGAAGCAAAGCAATTTTAGGAATAAAACTGGTTAGGATAAGTTCCCATCTAGTCCTTTGTAATGTATTCCTGTCTATTTCAGGGTACTTTGGACCGCAAATCATGGATTTATTTGAACAAGTATTACTGCCAAGTATGTGCAGCATATGCATGACTGCACATGCATACATACCCAGGTGCACAACAGGGGTATGCACTCACATACAGCTTGCTACATAGTAGCAAGATGTAGCTACATGTACAGCTACTATGTCATCGTTTTAAAGATGAGCTATTTTTAAGGGAAGGGTTCAAGCATTGTCAGAATACTTTGAGGAAAGTGGCATTACAAAAAGTATTTTATCATAATGAGAATCAATTTTAGAGGACAACACAACTGAATTTGAATTCCAGCTATTCCATTTAAGTAGATGTTTAGCTCAGAAAGCAACTTAATTGCTCCAAACCTCAGTTTCTTGGTGTATTCAATGAGAAGAACAATACCTGTTTCAGGTAATGGAGATTATCAGATAATAATAATAGCTGTTAAACACTTGATATAATATCTGAGACATAGTAAGTAGCTGCATTAAAATAAAGCTATTATTATGTATTTTTTCTTAATCTTATCTTTATCAGTATTTTCTTTATTTCACTGTAAGTAAAACCTGTTACAGATTTTTTTATATTCATGAGGTCATTTAGAATATAATAGACTATTTGGAAACTGTCTTGCTATTTGTTCTTAAGTAGAATTAAATATAAATTGAATTTAAGGCCTAATTTTTGGTTGGGTCACTCAGACAACATTATGACTGCATTCCAGAATGTCTTTTTAAAAAATGTTCAAGGTTAATATAAACCATTTTAGAATATTTTATTGTTAAAGATGTAGAACTAGGTATGTATGTCATGATAGTTTATTGCCAGGTTTGGTCAAGAGGAACATGTTTTTCATTATGAATCTTGAAAAGCTTTCAGAAATAAAATGATTATTTCAAATCTGCATTGAAATCCAAGATTAAGTAATTTTTAAATAGTATCTTTTATAAAATGACAGTGATACTCATTGGTGCTTTAACAGTTGATAATCAGCCTCCATTTGTATAAACACCATTCATGGGTCCTGGTATCTCTGACAAAAGAACTAGGTGAAAGGACTAAGTCAGTGCTTAAACATAGAACTGCACTTCCTCTTAATAAATATTTCAGCTTTTTCTCATTTTTTAAGACTCTGCATTCATCCTGAATTCTTTCATAGTCCAAGGAAGCCTACATACATGAAGGATGATAAGCTATTAAAGAAGACAATGAAATTAATCAGTTCTGTAAATTTTTGTATTTTGCATTGAAAATATTTTTGCATAGTATAAATGTAAAAGTGTCCTTTTCTATTATAGCTCTACTGGAATGTTTGTTTATTAAAATATTTGTTTGTTTGTTTAGTAATTACAGTACATTGATAACCAGTGTAGTCCCAGGGGATTATGATGGAGATTCACAAATGGATGTCCTTCTGACGTATCTTCCCAAAAATCATGCCAATGGTGAATTAGGAGCTGTTATCTTCTGGGGACAGAATCAAACATTAGGTGAATTTGTTTTAAATGTCTTTAATGTTTGTCACTGGATATTAAAGGGAAAACATGCCTGGTATTCTTAGGTAAATGTAACAAAAATAATGTTCAAAAATTAGTTCAAAAATGCAGTTCTTATGTGTCAGTAATTGTCTCTAAAAATTTTTTAAAAGTCTGTTTTCTGATTTCCTTTTATAACCTAGAAGTGATCTGTAGTCAACTCCAGGGAACAAAATCCATTCTTATTAGTTTAAGGAAGAGAGATTTATTAAAAGGTTTTTATGCTTTACAGAGTTATTGGGTTGACTGAAGAACACACACTAAGTTGAACTTTCAGGAACAATTCTCAAAGCCTTTGAAGACTCTGCTGCCTTTTTACCATCAGAAAGCAGCCAGGTGCACAACAGGTGCTCCCTCAGTCCTTAAAATTCAGCGATCAGACATTTAAGACAGAAATGACAGAAACACAGCCTTCACCTCATTCCTGCGTTGCAAAACCCATAATGTATCTAATTAGCAGGGCTCATACTTTATTCAGAATCTTAGATGCAAGGATGTCTGAGAAATGCTGTTTTTGGTTTCTGGTCTCCCTAGTACAGGAAAGCACAAAAAGCTTAAAGTTTGAGAGTCTGTCTACCATGCGTGTGTGCTAAGTTGCTTCAGTCATGTCCAACTCTTTGCGACCCTATGGACTATAGCTCGCCAGGCTTGCTGTCCATGTGATTCTCCAGGCAAGACAGTCTACCTACCCTGTCTTCCCATGAATCTTCAATTTTTATCTGAAAAACCAATTAATTACACCTGAATGGGCAATTTTGTTCATAGAGACAGATTTCAAGGACTGAGGCGGAGAGGAGAGCATGGACATTTTTTAGAATCAAGTAGTTTTGCACATATTGGGTTCTTTACAGCAAAACCTTAATTGTCAGCTGCTCTAGTGGTAAACCATGTATAAAGAAGATTCATGTAAGAGATTTTCAGAATGAAGACTCAAAAGGAAGTTATTAGAATGCTGATATCCTCACTGTAGTGTGAAAGTGTTTGTCTCTCAGTTGTGTCCAGCGCTGCGACCCCGTGGACTAGCTTGCCAGGCTCCTCTGTCCAGGCAGTTCTCCAGGCAAGAATACTGGACTCAGTTGCATTCCTTTCTCCAGGGGCTCTTCGTACCCAGGGATTGAACCTATGTCTCCTATATTGCAGACAGATTCTTTACTATCTAAGCCATCAGGGAAGCCTATAAACTTTCCCAGTAGTTTATCTTTACAAACTTGATGTCCACTTAAGTTATAGTGTCTCATTAGTGATTAATGGTGAAAGTTGGAATTAGTTAGAGATGAATCTTGAAAAGAATAGAAGATTATTCTCTTCCCTAAGTGCAGATTTAAAAGATAGTATAAAATGCCTGTTCATTTATCTATATTTTCTTTTCTTTTATAGATCCTAGCAATATGACCATACTCAATAGGACTTTTCAAGATGAACCACTAATTATGGAGTAAGTATGTGCTTGCTTCCCTTTAGATGATTTTAAACTTAAAAACATAAAGTCTTTTACATAGGAAACTACTTTGCTCAGTCGTGTTGGCTCTGTATTCATTCTCCCTTTAAAGCTGATAGAGGCCTGCCCTCTTAGTTATATGATATTTACTTGCCATAATGGAAGAAAGAGAAAATTGAAATTCATTATTTTGGAAAGAGAAAGAGATTTGTCTTTTTGGTTTTGTCTTAATAGTTTTGAATGTATCCATGATGGATCTTTATTGATCCTAGCCATGTCGTTTTTCAGAGAACTAAGATAACTGTTTTTGGATAAAACTGTTAGTGCTTGATTGGTACATATGAAGGGTAGAGGATTTCCTCTGGTTGACTTAACAACTATTTCTATATTAAGGAAAAACTTTGTCCTTTTTTACAGATCTTGCTTAGTATTATCATTTATCTCCTCGAAGTAGACTCATGTACCAACATAAGGTTAATTCCAATAGCTGTTAGGATTCTGATAATGATATAGATACTATCTTGGGGACTAAACAATGTACAGCCACTTTCTTGCTTCTAGTGCTGCCTTTTGTACAGTCACTAAAATCATAGTGGTATATCAATAGGTCACTGACTATTAGAAGTCTGAACTTTAATCCATGAATTAATCTTTTCAAGGTTCTCAGCTTGATTTCTTTTATAATTAGGTGTTTTTCATTATTGTTACAATATTCAATGGCTAGTATAAATTTTTACACCATCTTAGGGATTACTTTTGTGGGTTATTTCCCCAAGCCCATCTGACTAAATAAGGAGGAGGGTCATGATTCTGAAATTACGGTCTCCTTATTACTCAGAGATAGGCTAGACTATGCAGAGGCTACAGACGACACCAGAATCTCACAACAAAAGTTTATTTCTTGCTCATACTGCATGTCCACTGTGGGTCACTGATAGTCTGTGCTCTTTCACTAGCACTCAGAGTGTCTCACAGGCCTGATCATCTGTGTAGCTGGGCCATTTGAAACACGTTCTTATTGCCGAGGTGGCTAGAGGGTCCAATAACAAAAGTTAAACCTGTCACTTCTGACGTTCAATTGACTACAACAGATACTGTTGTATGTTTACCACACCTACCCAAAGTTTTTTTTTTTAAATTAAATTGGAAGTGAGAGTTTAATAGAATAGCTACTTAATGTTTTTAATGTTTTCTTTTCAGCTTCAATGGTGACTTAATTCCTGATATATTTGGTATCACAAATGAATCCAGCCAACCACAGATATTATTAGGAAAGTGAGTAAATATGAATATAACCATGTAATTAATTGTACATGTTGGTGCTAGAGGGACTGTGTGTCTGTATGAACTGATTGCTTTTACCGTTGGGGGGGGAACCCCATCTTATTGGAAATCCTTAATTTTTAAAAGGACATTTGGTCAACATAAAAATTTCCTCAAACATTATGGATTTGCTCTGCCACTGGTTTCTGTGTAGAGCCAGTTTAATCATTTTATCCCTCTGGAAATTAGAGATAGAAACTTCACAAGTCCCCATTTAAATATTGGTTCATAGCTAATCAACGAATATAGTAAAGTTGCAGGATATAAAATTAACACACAGAAATCCCTTGCATTCCTATACACTGAGAAAACAGAAAGAGAAATTAAGGAAACAATACCATTCACCATTGCAACAAAAAGAATGAAATACTTAGGAGTATATCTACCTAAAGAAACAAAAGACCTATACATAGAAAACTATAAAACACCGATGAAAGAAATCAAAGAGGACACAAACAGATAGAGAAATATACCGTGTTCATGGATTGGAAGAATCAATATTGTCAAAATGGCTATACTACCCAAAGCAATCCATAGATTCAATGCAATCCCTATCAAGCTACCAACAGTATTCCTCACAGAACTAGAACAAACAATTTCACAATTTGTATGGAAATGCAAAAAACCTCGAAGAGCCAAAGTAATCTTGAGAAAGAAGAACAGAACTGGAGGAATCAACCTGCCTGACTTCAGACTCTACTACAAAGCCACAGTCATCAAGACAGCATGGTACTGGCACAAAGACAGAAATATAGATCAATGGAACAGAATAGAAAGCCCAGAGATAAATCCACGAACCTATGGACACCTTATCTTCGACAAAGGAGGCAAGAATATACAATGGAAAAAAGACAACCTCTTTAACAAGTGGTGCTGGGAAAACTGGTCAACCACTTGTAAAAGAATGAAGCTAGAACACTTTCTAACACCATACACAAAAATAAACTCAAAATGGATTAAAGATCGAAATGTAAGACCAGAAACTATAAAACTCCTAGAGGAGAACATAGGCAAAACACTCTTCGACATAAATCACAGCAGGATCCTCTATGACCCACCTCCCAGAATATTGGAAATAAAAGCAAAAATAAACAAATGAGACCTAATGAAACTTAAAAGGTTTTGCACAACAAGGAAACTATAAGTAAGGTGAAAAGACAGCCCTCAGATTGGGAGAAAATAATAGCAAACGAAGCAACAGACAAAGGATTAATCTCAAAAATATACAAGCAACTCCTCCAGCTCAATTCCAGAAAAATAAATGACCCAATCAAAAAATGGGCCAAAGGACTAAACAGACATTTCTCCAAAGAAGACATACAGATGGCTAATAAACACATGAAAAGATGCTTAACATCACTCATTATCAGAGAAATGCAAATCAAAACCACAATGAGGTACCATTACACACCAGTCAGGATGGCTGCTATCCAAAAGTCTACAAGCAATAAATGCTGGAGAGGGTGTGGAGAAAAGGGAACCCTCTTACACTGTTGGTGGGAATGCAAACTAGTACAGCCGCTATGGAGAACAGTGTGGAGATTTCTTAAAAAACTGGAAATAGAACTGCCATATGATCCAGCAATCCCACTTCTGGGCATACACACTGAGGAAACCAGATCTGAAAGAGACATGTGCACCCCAATGTTCATCGCAGCACTGTTTATAATAGCCAGGACATGGAAGCAATCTAGATGCCCATCAGCAGACGAATGGATAAGGAATCTGTGGTACATATACACCATGGAATATTACTCAGCCGTTAAAAAGTATTCATTTGAATCAGTTCTAATGAGATGGATGAAACTGGAGCCCATTATACAGAGTGAAGTAAGCCAGAAAGATAAAGACCATTACAGTATACTAACACATATATATGGAATTTAGAAAGATGGTAACAATAACCCTATATGCAAAACAGAAAAAGAGACACAGATGTACAGAACAGACTGTTGGACTCTGTGGGAGAAGGCGAGGGTGGGATGTTTCGAGAGATCAGCATCGAAACATGTATATTATCTAGGGTGAAACAGATCACCAGCCCAGGTTGGATGCATGAGCAAGTACTTGGGCCTGGTGCACTGGGAAGACCCAGAGGGATCGGGTAGAGAGGGAGGTGGGAGGGGGGATCGGGATGGGGAATACATGTAAATCCATGGCTGATTTATGTCAATGTATGACAAAAACCACTACAATCTTGTAAAGTAATTAGCCTCCAATTAATAAAAATAAATGGAAAAAAGTAAATAAATATTAATTCATTAGATGTTCTTAGAAATGGAAAGATTTAATTTGAATACCATAGATAGCTGCCATCTTGATTGATTTCTCCACCTGACTCATGTTAACTGCCGTATGTTTACTGATAAGCCTTGTTCCTTCTGTGTTCAAAGAGCAATTAATAATTGCCTGAAAATGTAAACTTTTCTCTCTAAGCTCTGGAAACTTTTCCATGTATACTGTATCCTTGACCAGTATGTGTGCTTGTACATATCCAAGAATGCTACTCTTAGGGAAAACTGCCTGTTATCTTGTGATTTGAAGATTTCCATTATAGTTCCTCTAGATTTGAAAAGAACTGTCCTCCTAACACAAGAATTGATGATAGCAAGATATTTTCATGAGATACCTTCAACTTGGTTAATATTTTCTATTTTTGATGAAGTACACATTTTAAGAGTACAGAATACTTTTTTTTTTCTTTCACTTTCCAGCAAGTGCAGGGAACCATCTTTATCAATTTGTCTTCCCAGGTACTTTAAATCTAATGAATTTTCCTTCTTTGTTTTGGAGAAGTAATGTATTTTTATGATTAGTTTTCAAAATGTGATTCACAGGCACAAAGATGAGTAAATTGTCAAAATTTGAGCTATTCTGAGGCGAAACTATCACACTTTCTATCCCTTTTCTTTTAAAGTTCTCAGTAAAGAATATGAGTGTTTTTATGTTAGTCACAGTGACCTTTTAAAGACTCACTGTGACTCTTTAATGAGAAACCCATTTTTTCCCTCAAACTTTGAAAACTGTCTGGAAGAGCACACTGCTTGAGAGACCAACCGGAGGTCGATCCTGCTTCGCCTCTGCAGAGATGCCTGAGAGGCACCGAGTGTGGATGTGGTGTGGGAATCACCGGCCACTCCCCTGCTGGTTAACCTTGGGTAGACGTGTGATTGAGAATGTGGTGGTGATTTCTGGTCTGGTTTGTGCTGTGGTAATCTCTGTTATTTTATGATAATTTCCATTTTAGTGACAGAAATACTTGGAATATCTTTAATATGATGTGGCTAGATCTTATGAAATTTAAACTTATGAAACAGCTACTGTAGATAATTGAAAAATAACAACGGCCTAGAAAAAATAACTACCTAGATATTATGTGATAATGTCATAAATTATTTGTTTATTTGTTCTGAATTCTAGATAAGAGTTTTTTTGTCCTCTGCCTGAAGATATATTCACTTTTACTTTTTTATACATTATACTCTGATATACTACAGTATACTGGAGTAGTACTCTGCTGTTTCAAGATATTTATCATTTAAACTTCAGTTACAGATTAAACAATAGTGGCTAACCCTATTATAGGTAGCAAGTTTATATCCAAGATTTGTCCTGATATGACCTTTTAAAATGAAGTTATGTAAATTGGCAGCAAAGTATTTCTGTCAAGAGCATTGTTAGGATGACTATAGCTAGCATTGTCATGATTTAGACAAAAGAAAGCTGAAGATTTCTCTATTGGGGCAAGTATTAATATGTTACTAAAATAAGATAAATGTGTTTAGTCATATCCATTTTATAAGTTACAGACATATGATTAGGTGCATAAGTTAAAAAGCCATCGGTATAAACATTTTGGACTATTTATGTGACTTCGGTTTGGCAGTGCACTCGTATCTATCAAGAAATTTAATCTGCCTTTTGCAGCTTAAATATTGTGCTTATTTATGCCTGACCCAAAGATTATCTTAATCAAATTTGACTTGAACCTAAACTTTCTGGAAAATCTTGTAATCTTTGAATAGAGTGCTAAGTATTCCCATGGGATTGTGCTGGAAAGCCCATGGTTGTAAGTGGCCCAGTACAGGCATGGAAAAAGGAGACTGCCCACAGGTGAAACTAACATGATCTGGAGTAAGGGCGCAGGTGGTCAGTCTAAGCCAGTGACAGAGAAGAATCCCTTTTACTTGGTACAGTGGGGTTATCTGATAAGGACAGAAATGGTGCTAAATCTGCTGAGATGCCAGAAATAATTGAAGTGAGTTAAATGTGCAAAGGTGAGGCTTCAGTTTGCACCTCCACCTCACTTCATAATGACTTGAAATAATGTAATAATGTGCCACATTATTTAGAAATAACACCTAGCTATTAAGTGTTAGAGCAGCTTTTGTAATGATGTTAGGTTATCGTTAATGAGCATTTTCTGTAAAAGGATATTTGAAACTGATGTTGCATAAACGTTCAGAATATTGCTTTTAGTACTGACATGAAAACACTTGTACCTGTAATTTTAATCGAAGCCAAATGTAATGTTGGTCTGTTCAGATTTTCTATGATTCATATACAGAATTCAAACACATTACTGGGTCAGGCCCAAAGTGTACACCTGGGAATATTAATGTAGGTATGTGACAAACTTTTGCCATACTCTTTACTTCGCAAGCATCTGCTTGAATATTTTGAATGAAATATTAATGGCACTGGAAGCAGCCATTTTTAACTTATTTATGTGGGTGGATATTTTTCCTGCATTAGCAGAAAAAACTATCTTCTATTTAAATATAGGTATTTAATCTCAATTCAGAAATCCCTTTTCTGTATGTAACCATGTAATCTTCTCACATTATAATCAATGACTGATTTATTAAATCACCATTCATTTTTACTGCTGATTTTGTCTGCTTGCTGGAGCATTACAGAAAATACTGCCAATATTTATCTTAATGAAATAA